GAAGTGCTGAGCTGCTGGCTTCCTCCAAGTTTACAGTAAAACAAACTGGTGGTGTGTGACCAATGGCCATTTACAATTATTAATACTATTACTATTATTAGCATTAGTCTATATTTTGTCTGAAACGAAGCAGGAAGAAAAAAAAAAAACATAAATAATAATAAAAAAATATATAAATAAAATCGATTTTTCAAAATAATTTTCGATTATGGAGACTGTAACAAATATTCGAATAATCGCTGGCATCCCTAATTAGAGTAAGTCAAGTAAACCTCACTATTAATAGGTTGAGCACTGAAGTGAGGAACACAATAATGCATCAATACATATAATATTAAAGATTGTAATGCATATGATAGTGAAATGAGCCATACCACATAAGTTTAACTAATAAGGTACTTTGAATTTTTTTAGAGGCCCATTTTGTACTTTTACTTAATAGGATTAGCCACCAGAATCAAGATCCTAGGTGGTCTAGATCCTAAACTACTGGTAAAATAACAACCAATGGCGGCCATTTTCAAAATGGCCGCCATTGGCGCCATTGGACAAATTTGCGATGGCCCGATAGCCAAAAATCTTCCTTAGGGCATGCTCTAACAGTGTGCCAAATTTCATGCTTTTATCATCAAAAGCACAATTCTTTCACATATCTGCTGGACTAAATGTACTCAGAACAGCAGCATACATACACAATAAAATGCACAGAAAAAGTTGAAAGTTGAGTTACTTCATTACTCCAAGTTCCCATAGGTTTTTCTGATGTTCTGCATACAGTGATAAACTGACAAAATATGAAATGATTCAACCTAGATCATCATTCAAGGGCTTTAATTTAAATTATCACCTTCAGAAAAAATGTCTGAAGGTGTCTCTCTTAGTGATCCCTACTGGTAGTTAAAACCTAAATATGCTACATATTGGAGTTTTGTTGTGAGTTTCAGCCCATGGTTCTGTAAGGAACAGAACTTGACTTTATCGATTCACTCTCACTGCTTGCATAGCATAATACTTTAGAGAACAAGGCTATAAAAACCACTCTACACTACTTGATCAGCAGCATAGTAGACAGGCACAGTTTGAGAATATCTGGTGAACATAGTGGAGTATTTCTCTCAGGAGATAGAGACTAAAACAGAGTGGAAAATGTGTAATTATTCAAAAAGAATGATAATGTTAATCTGTAACAGCTGGATGTGTTAACAAAAAAACGACCCAAAGGAATCCGCTCCAGTTTGAGTCCTTTGTTTCTATGTATAGGAATATTGAAAAGAAAACGGGATCACAGTAGGGGATAACATTTACAATACCATCTTTGTAACACTATTGCATTTAAATGTGATTCCACGCATTCAATGTTTTTTTCAAAGTCCATTCTTTTCAATAAAATCTAATTTATTACCATGACAAACAGGATTTCAGTGGTAGCACCCAGCGCCTCTAGAGACTCCGGTTCATCGGTCGGTCTCTTGTAGTGGAAGGCCGTCCCTGCGATGTCAAACTTCCTGGGCCAGTCGATGGTCCACGCTCCGTTGATGTAGTAATCATCCACTTCAGATTTCAGAGCTGAGTAATCACAGAAAACAAGTCATATTTTCAGAAAGATGAAATCAAAAGCAGACAGGAACAGTAGCGGAGACAACAGGTGGAGACAATCATTCGCCGTGATGTCATTGCTGTCGTTCATCATCATCCTTTTCAGCCTCCCTGATGTCACTGACAACTTTCTGAGCAGAAACACACACACACACACACACACACACACACACACACACACACACACACACACACACACACACACACACACACACAGACGCACACGCACACGCACACGCACACACACACTGTGTTTGCAGACTTTTCACGTGCACCGACATGTACATACGTCTAATTTAGAAAGAGAAAGAAAACACACTTCAGGTGAAAGCCAGGACGAATCTTATGAATACCACTTTGTCTGGTTGTCAAAACAAAAGCTGGTCTCCAAGCACAACAGATCTGAAATATCCACTTTCTGTGCGTTGAAATGGGGCCAAATTCAGGAGAAATGATCCAACTATTCGCTTTTCTGTCTCTCTGGCTCGTGCTCTGCAGATTCCCCTCTTTTGCCCCCCTCGAACAATTGTTAACTCCTCTTTAAAATATCACAATGCTCTTAGAGATGAATCCATTTTCTACACATCTGGCACCTATTGTGAGCATTTTGTTATTTTGAACAGTGCAGTTTACACAAGTCTCCACAGGCATCCCAGTCTCTATATTTATATTGCCTCACTTAGTTTCTGCTTTTATTTAACAAAAAAAAAGGAAACTACTCTCACCTAAATAGCAAGGACTCAGACAATGCTGCAGAAGAACAATATTATCTTTATCTCTCGGGTCCCACATGAAATTCATAAGAAATTTACAGATTGCTTGGAATGGAAAATGTAGTCCAACACAATAGCCAAAATTGCACTCTTTAAACTTTGATATATAGACATCATATCCTCTATAATCCTTGTGGACCAGGCAGCTGTCACCACGGCCCTATAAATCTGATGCAGCTCTGCGGTTCAAAGTGTAACTTAAGCCCTCCATCAACACCATCCGCTATAAATTCAACACGCTGTCACATGTCTTTTTCTCGTTAATGAAAAGACACAGAGCAGGCTTAATTGAATCCGGTTGTTTGATTGTTTTGAGTCCGTCCCTGCCAGTGTTGCAAATAGTTTTTGTTTAGTCTGGAACAGAGCGGATAAGCCTGGTGCCAGGAGAGCCATCACATGTGTTAGGATTCAGAGAGTTTTTATAGACTCTGTTTTATGGCTTTACATTAGGCAACAGGAGATTTAACGATGGCATCTCTCTAATTTGCTCTTGACAAAGACGCGAGGAAATCCCTGGAGATGTGGTTGACACAGAGCTGAACAGATAATATGAAACAGCTTGATGTCAAAATTGCCAATTCATCACACTGTACTGAACTTCTACTGAGACTTGTGGATTGATAGTGAAGTGAAACAAGACTGGAGAGCAACACTAGTGCCTCTGTGAGACTCCACTTAAACAGAATGGTGATTTGAGCTAAAAGCATTTCATGTTTACCATGCTCACCAACAGGTTAGAGTACAGCTGTCGGTAGTTTTGCAGGTATTTGGTCATAAACTGAAGTGGATAATCACCCTGAGGGGAACATGAATGTCTGAACCAAATTTCATGGCAATCCATCTCAAAGTTGTAAAGACATTTAACTTAAAACTACAAATACGGGAGTTAAGGTGAGGCTAGAAGAAAAGTCAGGGGTCATCAAAGTCAGTCTGCTTCAGAGACTGCACAAAGCTGTGGGCCAGTCCACTTAGTAGATGTTGAGATATTTCACTGGATAGTGGATATTTGTTCCTAGCTCATGGCACTAAAGGACATAGCATCAAAGTAATTAGGGTTCATCCTCTGGGCAGATGTACCACATGTCATGGCAATCCATCAAACACTTTACAGTCATACACATAAAAAGACAAATGTTGCTCTTGTGTTGGCGCTAAAGAAAACGTCAGGGTATTGTCAAAGTCAGTGTGTTTGATCCTTTTAAGACCATGCACAGTATGTCTGTACAAAATTGCATGTCAATCTATTTAGTAGATGATGAGATATTTACCTGGATGGCTTACTGTTTTCCCAGCTAATGGTGCTACAGGACATGTCACTGATAAAGTAAGACATTAGGATTCATCCTCTGGGCACCAGGAATATACAGTATGTACAAGGCAATCTATCTAATGGATTTTGAGTTATTTCACAAAAAAAACAATTAGAATGACAACCTGGCACAACAGGAACAATTAGTGGATCACCAAAGTCAGTAGGGTTTATCCTCTGGGTAAAATGAATGTTTGGAACAAATGTATTGCCAATCCATCCAGTAGTTGCTGAGATATGTAAGCCTGGACTAAAGGGGTGGGCAAACCGACATACATACTGTAGAGCTTATACAATTGAATATTAATCTGGTTATAAATGTGACTTGATCATATGGAGGCCTTCACTTACCAATGTAATTCTTCGACATGGCAACTTCTTTGATTTCGATGTGAACCGATCCTTTTGGGATCTGAACCACCTCCATGTAGCCTGGAAGAAAAGGACACGTAGAGTTGAGGTTGTGTTTCTCCCACTCAAAGGGAGTACATATAGAATAAATCCAAACCACCCAAAAAGGACAAATCAGGAGGACAAAACAATCCCCTCCTTTTTTTTAAACAGTCAAACACGGACACACAGTATTTTTAGATGGTTTACTAGCCATACCATAGAAGGAGAAATATGTTTTCTCTCTCTCCTGCTGTCTATAGACATCCTCAGGCTACAGCCAACAGCAAGTCCCTATCTGTCCTCCTGATTTCTTCATTCCATGATGTAATTAATGGGAAAAACAATCTGTCACCATGACTCTAAAAAGCCAAAAGCATATGCTTTTTTCTCTGTGGGTGACAAAGACCACAAAAAAGGCACATTTCCTTGAAAGATTATCTTCCTTGCTTAAGGGATGTCATGCACAAAAGCTGCTTACCCAAAAGGACGATGAGTTATTTTGTTTGTCACATGTGGTCATCAAAACAAAATGTCTGGACCTCTTTTCACACTGAGTGAATCAAACAAGCCTGACAGCTCCAGTTCAAATTAAAAAGGGAGATCTAACAGAAACCTGATCATCAAAATGCCTGGAGTCAGATAAATTACCTCCTCTGGGTAGGGACTCGTTGAAGAGTCCCTCTGTTGCCTCGCAGGTGCTGCCATCCCCTCCACACACACGGCATCGATCCTCTTTAGCATCAGAGCTCAGGATGTTGTCACAGCCCACGTGCTTTGAAGAAAAATAAAGTCAGAGAATGCAGTGTTTTAATTGAAGACTGAAAAATGGGACCTAGAACCTTTTTATCATGAATCCCCTAAGTTAGATTTCAGAGCACAGACTTCGTGGTCTTTAAAGCAATACATTTCACAGGTCTTCTCTATCATAATGGAACATTGAATAGCTTGGGGTTTTGGACTTTTGGTCAAACTAAATATGTATAGTAGCATAGCTCTGAGAAAATGCGATGGTCTTTTCTCCCATTTCTTGACATTTTATGGGCTAAAACAAGATACAGACAAAGGATCAAGAGGTTCATTTATAACAAGCTGGTTGCAGCACTTGACTATGAAGAGCAAAAACGTCCATAAAATGGCAGTTATGAGTACATAGGGAGTTATTCGGACACAGTTCCAGTCTTTAAAATGTTTGTTAATGTATGACAATACACCTGGGAGGATTACATGGCCACTGCTTCTTCAGATCTCTCTGTTCTTTCAACTCTTTATGACTATCTGTCGGCTCTGTTATAATGTCTTTCTTTGTCTGTCTGTCCAGCGCCTGTAAACAGCATCACAGCTTTGAGTGTTTCTGAAAGCTTTCCAAGCAGACAGTGTTCTAGAGATGTATCAAAGCAGAGGGTGCAAGCCTCTGAAATAAAACCAAATGCAGGGTTCAGTCTGGAAATAAACCTGCAATGCTCCTTTGATGGAGAATATTCCACCTCTTAGAAATTCTTTACCCATTAAAACACACACCATGTTGTGTTTTTATATTCAAATCAGAGTAATGTTGTTGGCACAGACACTGCATGTTCATGCCAAACAGAAATCAAATTGTACGGTCACGTGGAAGTCAAAGCAAATACTTAAAGCGAGGAACCAAGAAGTTATTTCAGCTGCATCTCACAAAACACACAAAAACCCTCATCTCCACACAAAACTGCACAAAATGATTTATGCTCATGAAAACAAAGACAGCAGTAACTGCCAAGTCCTACCAATAATAAAATGTTATTAAATCAGCTTTTTCAAATATATATGAAATCATTATTCAATCACAACAATGATTTTTGTGTTTTATTTATCTAAAAAAACAATTCTGGTCGAGGCTGCAGAGCCCTGATAAGAGTCAGAAAGAACAATGCCAGACATTTGATCACAATAAGCCACATCAGCAACTCAAAAGCTTTATTGTTCCTCACTGGAGAATGTTGCTTTGGCAGTCTTGTTTATCAGTAATCTAGTCAACTGTGCTCTCAAAGATATAAACTGGCATTGAGGCAGAGGGAACTCTTACTTGGTCAGTAATTGCCCAGCTAACATTTTACTTTAGCTGTCATTTGACAAAATATCAGAGGTTAAAAGTTTAAAATAAATCACAAAACCCCACTGAGGATAATGGCATTGTGTGGTTTGTAATTATATTATTTATGAGCAGGAGATGCATGATGTTTTGAATGTATCTGACATGCATTTCAAAAGCAAATCAATAATAATACTGAATTCAATTTGGCACAGTGCCAGTTACTGCATTAACATGCCACTTGTTTTGTTTTGATCAAACAGGATTGATCACAAATGTGTATCTGGAAATAGTTCATATGTAAAGTTAAATACTTTTTCAGATCTTTTGTTAATATTGAATTTGCATTACTATAACATCTGTCATTTTATTTTATTCTTAGTGAGCTAATATCAAAGAAATGTAGAGACAATTGAAGTTGAACAATTGTAAAGCTATACCAAAATAATACTAAAATACTAAAGGTTCTTCTTTCAATATATTTCCATTTCCAGAGCTTTCAACCACATCTTAAAGTCTTCAGTTTTCGGAGTTTTCATCAGGTGACCTGGTTATGGAGTTAATGTCAATTGGTAACAACTACCTCCATCTAACCTCTCTGTTCTGAAGAGGACTTTCACATGCGGTTGAATGCGCCACAAAAATCTTTAGGTTTTTAAAGTTGTTTTATATTAAAAAGTTTGCTATCATTGATTTTAAACCATGATTGAGTTTATTAGCTTTCCTGCTAATGCTGTTAGTGTGGTGGTTAAAGGATAACGACGCTTTATTAGAATAACTTTGATTTTGACAGCTTTAGTTACAGTATAAGTTGTAAGCATATAAAAAATAAAGCCCAGGTTAACCTATGTTGTATTTTTTCTCAATAAAAGATATGAAAACAGTCATTTGCAAATCTTTAATCGAGTGGATTTAGGCTTTCAAATCGACATAAGGTCTGAGCATGCTCTGCTGCCTTACCTTACACTCTCCATTGATGCAGATGTCCAGAGAGTCAGCCTGACATCGGGTGCCGTCTATGACTGCAGGAGAGCGCTCTGTGTAGAAGTTGTAGCCCTCTGCTAGACAGTTCAGCGCACAGGGCTTAACACCACCTGGGTTACACAGAGTGCACACAGACAGAGCTCATGGTGAACTAGAGTTCAGCCTGCACACAGACAACATGACCTGAACGCCAATAGAGAAAATCAGAGATGAATGATAAACAATACATAGAGACTAGCAAACCCCGGGATCTCCTCTTGACTTGTTGACAATAATAATCATGAGGAGGAAAGTCAGCGGTGCTCGGATCTAAAACCACGGAAACCTGACGTCACTGTAACACCGACTCCAACAGAGAGAGCGCCGGCTGCCAACAACAATTACACTGACATCAACACGCAGGTTATCTGCTGTTTAAACATGACGGCTCGCAGCCCACAGAGCCCTTTAAATCAGGAGGTGATGGATTTGACAAAACAGACCCCCGAGATAAAAGAGATCAAACTTAAGCTCTCCCATCCCTGAAAGAAAACTAAAGCCGTGTTTACATGCTTCGACACTTTTTCTTGTTTTTTTTGTGAAGTGGATATTTTCCATGATTTACAGACATCAAGGACAGAACTTAGGGGGAGAATGACACAAAGCATGTATTAATAAACGCCTGCCAGTGGATGAGATAGTACAATAGCATTTGCACCCCATTCTTGCTTAGACCAAAGAATGAGTTCTTCTGTCAGGATGGCTTTCAGACATTTTAAATGTCCAAGGTTGGAGAAGCAGCAGAACCTGGAGACGAGCAAGTTATTTGAACACAACACGGTGTGCAGCAATCTGAAGAATTCTCTACCCTTTCAAACAATCTTCCCACTGTTGGTGTTAACTGTGTACACAACACAGACCGGCCTGCAGACTGTCATTTGTGACAGAAAAAAGGATGACAGTAAAATTGCACAGCTCAGCATAAAAAAGTAGAGATTGGAAAAGTGAAATACTCTGGAGCTGGTTGCATCAGATCAGCATCTCCCTAGTTTATGGCTGGGCTATAATGCAATATGATGATTTAGTGTCTTGTAATGGAATCGTAATGTCTTCATATATCAATGTCATACAGAATTCCACCGTGTAAATTGATGCATGTGCTTGCTCAGATTTAGCAGAAAATCTGAACAAATTTTTATCGAGTGGTTATTTTATATAGACTATTTTTTTTTTTATAATATATTGTGGCATGGATTTTAATAAACAGCTGGAACAACCCGTCCCTGAACTCACCACCAGTGTAAGGCTTCCAGTTGTAATACTTCCCACGGAAAGGCATGTTGTCAAAATCAGCACACTGCTTCTCTCGGAAATCACGAGATCCTGCAAGGCAGGCCTGCAAATAAAAAGGATGTTTAGAAATTGTGATGCATACAAGTGTCAAGTATACTTACAGTAAAGGTGGGGTAGGTAAGTTTGAGAAACCGGCTCGAGATACACTTTTTGTTATATTCCATCCCGATAGCAATGAATATCTTAAGTGCTTTGACAAAAAATCTATAAAAAAATGTCATCTGTGGAAGCACGACCAATCATCTGAGCCGGCCCAGCTAAAATAACTGGATGGCCTACCTGCCTGTCAGCCTTCCATCTGTGCACAAACTTATCTCGTGCCCTCATTGGTTGTGTGCGCGTTCTTGTGTGTTGGAGGAGGGGCTCTGTAAGGAGGTGGCAGATTTGTTCCGGCTGTGTATTTTCAAATTCTAGCGCCCTCGAGCTGGTTTCTCCAAAATTACCTACCCCACCTTTAACTGACTGCTTACCATTTAAATCATTTCCATATAATGTAAATATCTAATAAAAGACTAATAAAATGTGCTTGAGATGACTTAAGGAAAGACTGAGTTGAGATGGATAAAATGGATAGTATGTTTGTTGGATTGATGAACATAGTCTTTTGTTTTTCTAACCTTTTCTTAATATTCCATGCTTTACCAATCATGGATCATCTTTGACAAATGGTGTAGCGCTGGATACAGACTTGCTGTTTATAGTTTTTAATGTTTGTGAAATAAATGTCATTCTGGGGCTTGGAAGTTGTTTTCTTTAGTTGTTATTGACATCAACATTATTTTCCAATATAATTTAAGTATTACAAATTGAGTGAAGCAGCACAGACTATTTGAATCAATATGCTATTTAAGTGCCAGGATGACAAAGCAAAGATTATGTAACTTTGAAGATAAGAACAGAACTGATCTTCACTTTGATGGATTGCACAACTCAAACAAGTTAAAAGTGTCTGCCAATTGATTTCCATGTCATAAGAAAATTAATGGAAACCGATGGATAACTGGAACGAGTGGAAAATACCTCCCATAAATCTAGAAATCTGCTGCATGCATTCAAAAAAGTTCAGAAAAAAGTATGATTTGTAGCGAAGGAGTAAAAACTTGCAAGCACAGTGGTTTTAAGATTTTGAGTTGCAGTTGTAACCATTTGTGAATTATCTGCAAAATCTTTTTATTTATTCTGGGAAGTTTTTATTTGCATTGACAGCATTATTATTAACAACTGGACAAAGCCTGCAAAAGGATGTCACATTTTATTTCCAGACACTAAAACAGACTAGTTTCCTGGAATCTCTAATTGAGAACAGTTTGTTTTGCATATGGAGGGTTTTTGTTTTGTTTTTATGAGTGGATGTTGCTCCAGTTAGAGAAGGTAAAGAAGAAAAAGTATAAAGACACACTTTATTGGTGTGAAAAGGTCCTTAGAAACCCCAAAACATTCTCCCCCGGGACAAATAAAAGCTCTTGGGTCAAAGCTGTATTTCACATGCTGAAAGTGTTCCACGTCAAGGAAGGCCATTTTCATTACCACTCCAGTGTTTTGCCAATATCGCAGCTTTAAACTCGCACATCAAACATGCAGATGGAATCAGATGAGACAGAAGAATATTATTACAAGTGTGTGTTGAAATGACAACACGGCCGAATGAGATTTACATGTTCAAACATGTGTTTGAAGGAGGAAAGACCACATCAGTAGGGCTGCAAGTAAGGATAAACCAGATGATTATGTTTTGATTAATCATTTGGTCCATAAAATACCAGAAAATAGTTACAAGTATCCGGTGGAGCCAAAAGTTATTTCTTAAACCATCAGTCCAAAAGACAGCAGCAAGTCTTCATTTATCATGTTTTATTCATTTAAGCTGGAACAAGATAATGTTCTTCTTAACAAATGGTTTAAATGATCAATGAGTTATCAACATAGTTGACGATTACGTTTTGGTTCATTGATCGACTTTTTATCTCCTCCAGTCTCTAGAGGTGAAGGGGAACACCACTGTTTTGAACAGATCAAAGTCAATTGACTAGTAATGACGTGTGCTACAAACCCTCTGTGGGAGCTTTTTCAAGTCGAGAACATTTTAATAACATCACTTTAGTATTCTTGTTTGTGCTGAGAAACAATTGTTTCTGTGAGACATAACTCTGGGGACAGTTACATTTTGAAACATTTGATGTTTTAACAAGAAATGTGGCACAGATGTCCGTGGTGGCCAAATTGTTGGGTTGCCCCTGTAATAAAATGACGACTATAACCAACATATCTGACTGTGTCCAAGACAAATTGGCTTTATTCTAATCAGAAAGATGATTCCTTTTTTAAATAGCTACTGCATGAAGCATTATGCTAATGTATAACAGCCTTATAATATAAAGTTACCTCCCACAGGAAATATGTAGTAGCAACAGGAAGTGAGAGAGGCCCCATTAACAAATGATATCTGACTGCTGATCAATGTAAAAACAGTTGTGGTATAAACATCAATTTATGCATGTAAGTGTGTGAGTGCTGCATTCGTCAATGTATCTACATCTGGTGCTCACGCTCACACACATTTCCCTAGACAAGGTGTGGTCAGTGTGATGAAATGGTGGTTGGGGATGTTGTTTGTTTTCCAAAGAAAACACTCAGTGCTTGCTCTCAGCTGTTATTTTTAAGGCTTGCGGTTAAATGTCCACCAGGGCCCTAACTATTTCAATTTTCACCTTGTGAAAAAAAGCCCACCTAGAAATAGTTGAACAGAGATCTCCACTTGCAGCCATGTTAAATATTTGTTTAAAGCTTTGCTCCAGACCACAAAAAAAAGAAGAAACTTGGTGAATTGCTTTTCATAAAATATGCTCTGAAACTGTCATCATGGTTGACTCAAGTGAAATGTCACAAACAATATGTGAACTATTAAGTGACAGATAACTCAAGAGTTGCTGGGGGAATATTGAATAACTGCCTGTGTGTTTTTATCATCGTCTGTCCTGCGTTCCAGGAAGAAAGCATGTCAGAAAGTGTAAAGGCGGTGTAGTGCTGCTAGCTAACATGCTCCTTATAAAGCCTTTCCTAAGATAACATGTTCCACAGGAGAAAAACCTGGAGGCTCAGCAGTCATGCTGTGACAGGCCAAATCCATCCCGGGTCAGAATGCCTCAACTATCTCAGTCCCTTAACGAACCAGAGCAGGGCATCCATCAAGAGGACAGTTTAGCTTCCAAGTCACTTGTATACTTTGCTCCAAATACCAAGCAGACAGAGTAAAACAGGGAGGCAAAGAAAGGAAGAAAACTTACGTCAGTGTTACAAGATCTGTAACGTTTCCTCTCCCCGAGACAGTACTTCCCTCCTCCAGACGGGCTGAGAGACACAGGAGAATTCAGTGAGTTGGGAATTAAAAGGTGAGAGGACATGCTCAACGCATTGAGCGTCATAAATAACCCACAAAGAAAACATCTTTGGTGGAGTAGTGAGTACATTTTGGTGAATGCAGTTCATGAAACAGGCCTCAGAAAGTCTCTGCCAGAAGACAAAGTGTGTTTGTGTGTCTGCATTTGCTGCTTTGCTGAGCGTGTACGCCAGTGATTCATTCATGAAATCCAAGCTGCTCCGAGAGCTCTTAAGTGTGACATGACATTTCGTTTTGGGGGAGAGACTGAAGTCTGTAACCTCAGAGCGATCCACTACATTTACTACATCTGCAAACGTCTGTTTTTCCTCTCTTATCATCTCTTCTTCTCACCTTCATTAGCCTCCCTTTCCTCTGAGACAATTTCCACTTCATTTGCAGAGTGAGCCAGGCTCTGTAATGAATGTGTCCGACGCTGCTCTGGCTGTGTTTTCTCTGCCTCCCTCCTCTTTGCACTGATGCCTGAGCGGCAGCGATCACCTTACACAGGTGTTCCACATTATGCCGGTGCCTTCTCCTCTTCCCCCTTTTTCCCTCCTTCCTCCTTTTTCCCCCTTCCCTCTAGTTCACCCTGGCTCTTTCTCGTGTCTTCCTAGACGTAACATCTAGTTCGGAAAACAAAAGAATGAACCGATGGGAGAAGGATAAACGTCTATTTCCAATGACTTGTCACGTGAGGACTAGGGGATGCTTTTAAACAACAGAAGTTTGTGAGCTGGGAGCTTAACTGACTGCACATGCTTCACCAGTACATCTTAAATAGCATAAGGACCAACCTCTGTGATGAGTTAGATTAGAAGATAGTGGTGCCCAGGACAACCTTGAAAGAACCCTCCTCTGGTGACTTTATGTCTGTCTTGTTACGGCGAGACTGAGTAGCTTTTAACAGAAGGAATAACATAATTTTCCTGCTTAACACATCCCTACTAAGGCTGGTGTGATCACTGGCCTATGGTGGCTAATGTTAGCATACTTAAACTTAGCATACTTAATACTGAAAATTGTTCATCTTGTAGCTGTTTAACATCATGTGTTTTCAGGCAGGTGGGCAGAGCTATTTTAGCCTAGCTTAAGCTTAAAACTGTGCACTTCAGTGGAGACTCCATGCTGTACTAAAATGTCCAACCAACACATTATAAATCGGCTCCAGCCTTTTATTTAATGCCTTTATATCTGCCTTTCTCTCGGTGGATCATCAATTTACACTTATTATTGACCACTAACTGACCTATTTCAACAGGAAACACACAACATTTATTTAATTATAAAAAATAAACGCCTCACTTCCTGTTTGACTTTAAAGTATTCCACCATTGTCCTGTATAAGAAAAGGCAAAACTGAAGTGGCATTTATTTACACAATGCTTTGTTACATCCTGTTGCAGTTGACAACAAAAATCTAGCAAAAATATTTTTTTAACAAAAACGCAATTCTTTCTATGGAAAGTGGCATTTATCCCTTTGCTACTATTATGCCTCTCTTATCCCTTTCAAATACAAGATACATTCACACAACACACACACACACACACACACACACACACACACACACACACACACACACACACACACACACACACACACACACACACACACACACACACACACACACACACACACACACACACACACACACACACACACACACACACACACACACACACACACACACACACACACACACACACACACACACACACACACACACACCTGTAGGCAGGACCTGGATGTGTGTGTTCAGCTTGCTGCGGCTTACTTTGCCTACTTACGCTGGGCTGTCACAGTGCCTCATGGAGGAGGAAACACCGCCCCCACAGGTCCTGCTGCACTCCCCCCACGAGGACCAGGGCCCCCAGCCTCCGTCCACACTCTGAGGCCAGGTACCGAACACCACACACTCCCCCTGGTAGCACCACTGCGAGCAGAAACGCAGAGGAAAGAGAGAAGGAAAGTTAAGTTATCATGCAGTCGAGTTGAATCTTATCCAAAATGTGAGACACATTTTAGACACGATTGCTTTAGAGTCACAATAACATTATTACAACAAAGAATACTGCAGTGTCAGTTTTACAGTTGTATAAAGTTTGACATCATGATAAATCAATGTGCATCTGTGTACAATGAACTGTAGACTAAACAGTCGTCCTTCAGTAACAAACGCTCTCCCTCTGCCTTGCTTTAGAAACACACACTAACTTGTGATTACAATATTACTCACCCTATAATTCATTTCCGTATTAGTCCTGTTATTTCTCCTCTCTTACCTGTCATTTTGTATGGGTTATTGCTGACCTGGTTTCCTCCTCGTTGAGGTTAATTGTTGTATATGTAATGTGACTCAACTCAGGTTAAATCCATTTTAACATTAAAGGAATAGTTCAACATCTGAGAAGTACTTATTAGCTCACTCCAAAATGGAAATGATTAAAAATGAGAACACAAATGTCATTTAACAAGCACTTGCTCAAATCAATACAATTGCTTTGCTGCTAGAGCCTTACTTGGCGGCTGGTGGTAGTATTCAAACGTGTGATGTCACTATGTCGCAGAAGTAAACAAAGGAGAACAATGGAGGCATTTAAGGCAGGGGGGAGGTGTGTGGGAGAGGAACACAGGGATGTTAGCCTTTGCAGACCATTTAAAAAACTACTGCATAACACACTACAGGAAAGGGAAAACCCCCAAAAGCATAATAGGGCCCCTTTAATTTGTTTATTTGTTTTGTCCAACAAAATGTGTTCTTATAATCCTCTTGAACACATTATTACCTTAACAATTATTTGATTACAAGTTGAATAAACAGAAGAGTTTCTTCTAGTTCTTATTTCCAGAGTACTGTGAGGAGCTTTCCGAGGCAGGTGAGGGATGTACAGCAGTATGTGTGCTGATCAGGAGTGTTTTAATCCTCGTGCTAAGCTGTTCACAGCTCCAGAGGGAAGAGAGGTTTAGAGACGTCCCTTTGTCTTTCAACTGTGTCAGTGGGTTAATAACTCAGAGGCTGGGACAGATAAGGTAAGGGCTGCGTGTCCCTCTCTGAATCACTCATTCCCATCCTGAGATGCTCTTTAAACAAGATTATCAGTGGGAGAGGAGAGAGGAGAGATGTATTGAGGGAAACATCCTGACAGAAACACAGAGGGGGAGCGGAGATGAAGTCTAGCAAACTGTTTATCTGTGAGTCCATTTAAACATACAGAAAACTCCTCTCAGTTGGTCAGTTTCTGCCCCTCTCCCGCCTCCCTCTGCCCTCTCCCCCAGCCTCTCTCCCTGCTCCTGGTGGAAGGGCCTCTCTCCATTACACGCTGGGTGAGAAATGGCTGACATTCATATTCCTTTGAAGCTCTCCCCGGGCAGGGGCAGACACGGTATGCCACTGGCTCTTCTAAAGCTGCTCCAAAAGCTGATTCAAAGCCCCCCCGGCTCAACCTGGGGCCCCCTGTGTTGTCCAGGACCCTGTCCGTGGGCCCCGGCCCTCAAAGGCTCCACTGAGCTAATGGTAATCGCGGGTGACAGCTCGTGACACTCTGCTATTCTTCCCTTTTAGACCTCGGACCATCCGGTGACAATGGCTGCCGTAATCCGTGTTAAAACTGTCTCCCCTAACCTGGCTGGCATCAAGAGTGGGCTGATGACCTAAAGCTTGGCCTGCTAGCATGTGTGTTTTTTGTGAGTGTTAGCCCCATCCCAGAGAGGAATACATAAACGTTGAGGCAGTGAGGTACCACTATCAGAGGCTCATGTCTGCACACAGAGGAGGTTATTGATGTGCTCATTACAGATCAAAAAGTATAAAATAAAAAAGGTATGCATATCACACTTAATTAAACGTTCTTTCTGAAAAACCCTCTGTTTTTGCCTCAACCAAAATATATTATAGGTTAATGGAATTAGTTTGTGGTGCTGACTGCATTGAATAAATACATCACAGCAACATGTCTTTTCAGATACTAAATCTCAATTACTCTAAATAAAACACAGATTTAGGTCTAGTAACAGATCCACAAGGACTATTCCTTCGTGTGGTAAGTAGAACCACTGTAAAGTTCTTTTTGGAATGTAACTTACGTATGTGAATTATCCAGAGAATCAAGGGAACCTAAAATGTTTACATTTCAAAAAGGAGTGCTTTCATTCACTCACAAAAAACTAAAAATCCTAATGACGATGCCGCTGGGTTAATTGTCAAGTATAAGAAAATGTATTTCAAAATTCCTCTCTTTTCTCCTCCCGTAAAACAAAAACACATTTTAATGACCCGTCTTGACCTGGGTGACGGGGGGGAAATGTAATCATTTAAATGATTGATGATGCAAAGCTAACCAAGTTCATCATATCAAAGCGAACTTGACTGTTAACGTCTGGGTTGCAGTAGCTGGGAGAGATATCATAGGTCAGAGGTGAGTGTGTGGCTGTCAGTTTGGAAAAACATCTCTTACTCATCCTCCTCCTGATCTAGCAGTGTGTTTGAAGAATATCTTAAACCGCCCACGAAACCACTAGGATTAAGTGAGAAAATGTGTTTTTCCAAAATGAGTTATTCTCTGTTAATTTGGAAGAATATTCGATGACTTACCCCTTTATCAATGCTTCCAGTCTGGCACAGGGTCCCCTCCGCAGCAGGGATACTGTTGGTTACACAGCGGTTGCTTTTGCTAAGGCACCAGAGCTCTCTACACACTTCCTAGGAAAGAAGGCAAAAGCAAGTTGGTCAGAATAAATCAATTCAGTAAACCGGGGGGTGGATCGCTGATTAAGGGAATGATTTGTCAGTAGCCTTTGGTGGTTTCTTCTCCACTCTGACGGAGAAGTAGGAACAAAACTATCTATAAATCTACTTGATTCAAGATCAAACCAGGTGAGTTGATGAGAGGCATCCAACTTTAAGAGCTCATATATTTTGGATCATCGTACATATTGAGCAATACGCCGAGGGTCATTGGGTGCTCTTAATGTTCTCTTATGAGAAATGAAGAGTCAGCTGGATCAACACCATGACTAACGTTTGCTCACGTTCACCTCAAGACCACACGGGACCGTGACATCAGTTCAAGAAATCACATTTCTGCTGCTTAGGGGAAATCAAGAATGAGCAATAGGCCTCCCAAGTCTTAGATAAAGAAGACTTGTAGGTCCAACAAATATCTTTAGTATTACTGAGTGGTCTGAGTAAACATCCCCATCTTCTCCTCCTTAAGTCTAGAGCATAAGGAGAATCCATTTAGATTACTAAAGGAAGGGAGTGTGTGTGTGTGAGAAAGAGAGATAGTGGGTAGACAGCACAAAGTTGACCCCAAATAAATAAAACCATAAAGAGAACACATGTTACAAGGACTGCTCTGCACAACCTCGCATTAGATTTCCCATTAAACCGAGCTGGGACGCCCCCGTGTCTCGTCTTCAAAGGCTTTTACAGGACAATTATGTACGGCAGAAGAGCAGGCTCATGAAAAAGAGTTATGACCCAGCGCATAGATCGTGACCCCCGGGGTCAGTAAATATGCCACGGCCCCGACGCTCCCTGAGCCTATCCAGATTAAACAAAGCGGCAAAGTGCCACTCTCTGGTTGCAGCGGCTCTCCTCTACCAGCTGGTTTCAATAAGCCGCCCGCTGCTCCATTCACTATCTCCACCGGCTGAAAGGTTAGCGTCCCGGGCTTTAACGAACGTGGATGTGCGCCGAATGGATTTACGCAACGTGAGAACAAGCCGGCGATAAAAAAAGGGCAAGGGCACTCGGTGAGGGCCTTGCTAATATAGCCATCAAATGTTGTTTGTTTTTCATACCTTCCAGTGTCACGCAGCTGACCTGTCTGTGTTGGTATCTCGGGGCACTAACTGAAGTAGGAAGTGGTCATTGGAACCAAATTAACGCAATCAATCACCATAACTTCCTCTCTGGACCTATGTGTTTCTTTTCCCACCTCTGACACAGGCTCACACTGTGGTTTTATGTCTGTGAGATCCCCGCGGTTCTTTAAAAGTTTTGAATTTAGTTCAACCGCCGCAAAGGTTTCGTTGGCCATATTCAGTGAAATATTGCTGTTGTTTTACTCGACATGAGTGGTTTACAATCTCTTTTGGCAATGGCCCCTAAATACAAAGCAATATACATTTTTGTTTGATTTGTGAGCAACTCAATTATGACCAATTATCATAGAGGTTCGATACATTTTAAAATTAGACAGAAAAAAAAAGTCTACATCCAGACTGTTCTTAGTTTAGCATGCTTACATTTACCAATTATTACTAAAATCCTAACATCTTATTGTTTGAGTAAACAGCCACATGGTCATGGTCAAACTCAAAAGTATAACAAGTTGACCGAAACCATTTTAAATATCCATGTTTTCACAAAAAACTCCTGAACAAGTCTTAACGCGCTTTTCTTGATATTTTGTTGTATGCAAATGAAGTTATGCATGGTATCATTCTTTGTACCGCTCAGTGAAGTAACTTGTCATGTGTGCTCTGAGTTCCCATCCTGTCCTGAAGATAAATGAATATGGTGCAGATTTGTGGCAGGCAGTTCAGAGTTTGGACATACAAAAATAACAAATCACTTTGTTATCATACAGTCTAAGCCCAACATGTTTTACTAGTGAAATACTAAAACTACAATATGACATTATTTATCGTAATATTAAAGATAAACTTTGATATACTCTGACTAAACCTCCCCTGGTTTCCCATCACTGTGTTCTTTCACAGTACAAAACGATAACGAAATACAACACATCTCCATCCAAATGTGGAGGAGTTCAGCAGGTTAGAGCTGAGCCTTGGCTTTAGAAACCAGACTCTTCCACTCATTAGACTTTTTATCCATTTCTGTGGTCACGTCTGTCCTGAGAGCCGTCGCTGAGGGCATCTCTTTCACAGATGCTGTATGAAATAGATCTGATTGTCAGATGAAAAACTCCAATCTAGTCTGTGGAATCGTGCTGGAATCCAATCCGCTCATAAATGTTCGTCTTTCATGCTGATCTAAAACCACAATTATGAGCTTAGAAACCAAAATAACAGGGCTTGATTTGGGGCCTGTTATAATCTGCTGTCTTTCAATGAAATGAAATAACCTCATGATCTCAGCTAATCTACGTTCTCTTTTTCCAATATTTACGTAACGCTAAACAATATCACGTTATTGTTCATTAAATCTTCGAGGATTCTTTTTGACCGCTTATTTTACCATGCGGCTGTTTCTCATCTTTCATTGCCTGTGTCATTTATGAAGTGCGGTTTTCTCATGACTCTGGCATGGGGGATGAATCATTATCCTCACAGACTTAAAGATGAGAGAAGTGTTGACTTCAATCCTTCATCTCTCTGTCCGGGGCGTTTATAGATTAATAAGAAGAATAGGGCAACGTGTGGAAAGACACCTCTAAACCAGCTCTTGTCTTCAGACAATAATAAAACTATTATCTTCCCCTAATGTTTATCCCCCATTAACCTCAAGGAGGAAATATGAACTTGAAGAGTTCATCTCAGTGAGGACTGAACATGCTGTGACTGCACATAGACACCTCTTATTCAACATGTGAGAAATAACGGAAATTAAAATGGAGCTTGTTGTTTCAGATGCTTTTGTTTTGCATTCGGTTTGAATTTATATATGACTTCTTTACACAAAAATGTGCAGCGCTTTGATCCATTTCATAAGTGTCTACATTTAGAAAGTTATTGGAGGGAAAAATGGCAATAAAACCTAATTTGGTCACATTACATCATTTTGTTTTAGTTTTTTAAGCAATGGAGCTCACAATGGGACACCAGATGTGTTTTTTTATCTCAAAGGTGTATGATAAAAAGAACGTTTTAAAAACACATATTTTGGCCATTTTGCTCCAACCTTTGAGAAGACTCCTAACTTCAGTTCATCCCACGCAGGTAAAAATAACTCCTTTGCAACATCATATACATATCAGATTAATACATTCATTTATGTCCAATTTACTTTCCAAGTTCAATGTGTGTTGGAGATGCTAAAGTAATATTGTTAACTTATAAAAACTAAAACTAAATGAGCAGTTCAAACATAAGACAGGGATCCTTTGGGTGAGTAAGAGGAAGACAAGAAGACAGATGCTGGTTTCTTACCCCATACTTGCACTGGCGTGAGGAGGTTCCGTACTGGAAGCGACACTGCTCGTCTGCATCGTACACCTGCCCAGGGGCCACTGTTGGGTACAGGAAGTCTCGTTTCAGAGGTTCATTGTCCAGACACGTCCCCCGACCTGAGCTGTCAAAAAAACAAACCTACAATAGGATTGTTTCTTACACAAAGAAACCTTTCTACACTTGGCTGATGGCAGAGCTAGAAAATCCAAGATTGAATGATTAAAGCCCCCCCTCCTCCTCGTTTGTTTAAGACCTTGGCTGGTGTTGCTCGACTCATTTTATTTTACCACCAAATTACAATTGTAGGTAGCCTGTCTCAAATCTCAAATGACATGTAGTTGATGTTGATATCACACATCAACACCTCCTTATCAAACGGAGTGTTAAAGCACATGCAGAGACATTTTACCACAGGCAAAGAGGACCGAGCTTAAAGAGCAGCCTTCTCTGATTATATGGCTCTGTGCTCCACTATTCATATATTGAATCCACAGCAGAGTCAATAGAATAACAGAGCAGGGAGAGGAAGAGAACAATCTGGAGTGAGCTATGGGTCATATGTCAGGGGCTAGGAGTATGTTTAGTCTGTTTGTCCGATCGAAATGTGTGCGCTCACAAAAAACTTGCAGGGAAAAAACACACTTGGCTGATTTGTATTTTAGTCATTTACAAATAAATACACACAGTTGTTTCTTTGCATTGTGTGTCTGTTAATCCTGGGATGAGATGCTGAGCTGTGTGTATGCTTTTATCGCCCTATCTTTGAGGTCAGACAATCAAATGTAGTATTAATCTGTTGACCTTTAGCCCACTTGTATGACATTCAAATCATACCAAAGGCAAGTGCCAATAAACAAACAGAGATATGCTTGCTTCTGCCTGAGTCATAGAATACACTCTAGGCTAAATGCTACTACAATATTTACTATAACACTGTGTTCTTTCCAGATGTGGCAGCTGCAAAATTCAGAGGAATGCCTCCCATCCAGCGAAAGTAAAAGTGGGCCTAGTGACAACAATAATGTAGAGCTAGGCGTTATGATTGAATGCAGCTTGGACCCACAATGCAGCAGTGAAGAAGACAGAAACTTAAACATTGAACGGCTGGTCCACACAAAACTGCAAAATCACATATTTGACCACATACCTGCAGTGATATATGGCTGAGCTGATAGATTTGAAAGTATATACTACTTAGTACATTCTCTACATTTCCCAAAAATATTCTAGCTCAGCTGATTTGTTTAAGTAATAGCTGTTTTTCAATAATTTCCGAACAAATAGACCCTACAAAAATGGTTGGTTTTGTGCAACTGATTCTGAAATAAAAAATGTTTTTATTACACTGAGCACCACGAAGAAACATTCAGTACACCAGCTGTCCTGGGAAGAAGGTCTTAATTTTAGGGGTTTTTATCTTAAAAACTATCAAATCAAATCAATCTGCTTGGCTGAACATACCATTTAAAAATGGCTAGACTGAGCCTTTAATGTAATTTCCAGAGCTAATTAAGAGGACAAATGTTTCCTTCTCTGCTTTACCTCAGGATTTTGTTCCACCAGCTTTTTTTTTTAAGAGATCTTCTACATATTGTTTTTTTTTTTTATCCCAGTGTAGTAAATATAAAACAGTATTTTAGTAGAATTAATTATTCCTTTTTGACCCTCTTTGTCCTCCAGTATAGAATAATCCCATTTCTTGGCTCTTGTTCCCCGGAAGACCCTCTCATCATGGAGAAAGAGACACAAGTGGGTCTCTGAGGCCCCCGACTCCCTGTGCACTAAGGGCAAGCCTCTCTATTTATTGGTTTGGAAAGGGACAAAATAGTCAAAGTTTAAACATAGAAGCTATTATTTGACATGGTCGTAATGGCTTCCTGTCCGGTGGATTCAGCCAAATTCACTATGCTGAGCGGAAATATCCTCTAATAAGCGAGAACATCAGCAATCCCCGAACTCTGACACCGGTCGTTTATGTAGAAATTAGCCATGCTGAGTGTGTCCACCCATCAGCATGATTAAATCAGACTAACCTAACAATTATCACAAGGCACAAGCCACATAAATCTAATATGAAACTTAATAGATCATATGTGGTCTCTGAGAGTTTAATAAACCCAAACAGCCTGTCTTTTAACATTTATAACAAACTGGCGTAAAGACTTAGGAGGATAAACTTTGACTGAACTGTGAGTGCATTCATAAACCACTGCTAAAAGGCCCAAACAAAGCAGCGCATATTGATTTAGCAAGACGGTAAAATCTAGGCCAGCACGACAGCCAAAGTTGTTTACTTGGCTAGGAGAAGCGTTTGTGATATCCAAAACTCTGATGGAGGGAGAGAAAGGGAGGATAATTGGAGTTTACAGACAGAACCCTTTTGTAAGAAACATAAAAGGAAAAGGCAATAAAATACTAAATGAATACAAAAACCTCAAGAAACAGTCTGATACTTATAGTGCTATAAATATAAGCTAAGCAGAGGTTTATTCTGCTGAGAAAACAAGAAATAAAAAACAACTTTGTCTTTTTGTTTGCTCTGGTCATCCTCATATATACTGGAGCCAGCGCTGGACAGAAACCCGGCGCAGCAGCAGAGAAGCGTCTCTTTGTGTCCCGGCTGGAAACTGGCACATGTTACTGTCATCTCTGTCACAAGTGTTGTTCATGAACCCTCCTTTAACAGCTTTCAGCCGGAAACATCATTTGACAACCACAACAGCTATTATCGGCGTCTTGGAAGGCCTCGCTGACTCAACATCAATACACACACACACAAACAGACACACACATCGTAGACTTGCAGCGCATCCAACCATTCCTTCACTACAAGGTTGTTTGCAAGGCTGTTGCGGAAAAATGGAAAAGGGAGGATCTTTTTGTTTTTAAAGCAGCTACGGCTATCTAAAATCCTCCCTGGAAAGCTTAAATAAATAGGCTCTTTGGTGCAATAAAATATACAATTTCAATCACAGATGCATGCACTTATACCAAGCTGCGAGACTCTGATTCAAGCCTGTTACATTGAAGTGTTCCTTTTAAAGACTTCCAAATAAATACAAATAAAATCCCTGTTTAAATCTGACCTCTGCAGTCAGTAGAACTAACTCACTTCTTTAAGAGCAGTTATATCAGCTTGAAATGATTTTTGTCAGCTTGAAGGCACCAAACTGTAAACACATTCAAATTTTATCACCAATTGATTGGCTCTGTCTAATATCAAGGTAAATAGTGAGAGGACTTTGAAAAGAGGAGGCTTCCTTGACCTAATTCTGTCACGCTTAAAGGATAAAGAAGAATGGCAGCATGTTTCTCCTCTGCTGGAATAATCCTGACCACTTTCTGATTGTTATTCCTACACAATGAAGCTGTTAGCAGTGGACCAGCCTGCCCAGAGCTCCGTTTGGGAGAAGCATCACTCTTCAATCCACAGCGAACAACAGTCCCCAAGTCAAATGTATTAGAGACTGTGTCTGTGAGACCAGGGTGAGTGAGAATGCGTATTTTCTGGTTCTGCTGCAACAATTTTCACAAGTCCTACAAAGTTATAAGGGTGCTCAGATTCAGGGAAATTAGAGCAGCTCATTTAGAAACCTCCTCGAAAAGCAGCTTTAACTCAATAAACCAGTGGCAAGCAGGAATCAGTTAATACACTCCTGTCATGTCCAAACATATCTGTTCACTGCCAGACTCTGAAGGCCAGATCCAGATGTTTTGTCTGGCCTTCTATGAAAACATCTCCTTTTTTGTTTTTACCATACCAGGCTGGTATAACTCAGCCAGCCAATCTATTATTCAACCAAACATCTCCGATTTGGTTTATTTGTGCACTTAAAGCTTCTTTTTTTTTTTGACCTATCCACAAAACAGCGGAGTAGCGGTTGGAGGCAGCTGGTCTCCGCATCACCACCGAGCACCACATGAGCCCCAACATCACCCGCCTTGTGGTGCGAGGATGCAAGGGGTGGAAGGCACCCGGTTATCACACACAGCCACAAGGAGGTCTGGCAGGAGGCTTGGTGATGAAATGAATGTGAAAAAGTGGGGAAGGCCCTGCTTACAGGACATCCTAGCGGGTCACCACAAGCCGGTGGCAGCGGGTTGCAAAGAGAGGCGGCTGCAAGCGAGCTGGAAAACAGGCATGCTCCTTTTTCTGATACTGCACACACACACAGCGCACACACACACACACACACACACACACACACACACACACACACACACACACACACACACACACACACACACACACACACACACACACAGTCCCACAGGGAGCAACCATCATCCACTTACTCGAGAAAGCTGGTGATGTAGTCTTTGCTGCAGGCGGACCAGGAGAAAGGGTTGGTGTTGGCTGTTATATGAGCGGCCATTAGCTTGGCTGTCTCGTGGCCTTTGGTACCGCAGGAATTCCCGATCCCGTCGTGGTTCATCCCAAAACTGAGACGCAGAAAATAAAAAGTGGAATTAGGTTCAGCTGGGTTTGCTGATCATCAGTAACCACGGGTCTAAAAGTGACCCTGTGTTTGGCGGTGAACAGATGGCATGAGGGTGGATAGTTCAGGGTGCTGTTTCTGCATGATGTCTCCCTTAGTGGCCCTGGCTATAAAGATGGAGCTCTGTGGCTCTGAAACAGCTGTGCGGAGGGGAGCCAGAAGTCAAGGGTCAAACCCTGTCTGGAGCTCGGCAGGAATGAAAATGTCTAATCACTACTTTGATGCCTGCATGTCAATCACCGTCTGCAGGTCTGAGCAGGCCGGGAGGGAGTCTCTGCTGAGCTTTAGATCAATCGCTGCACCAGAGAAAGAGAAGAGATCCAAAAACCCAGCTCCTGACCTTGTGGTCTGTTATAAAAGCTGCTCGATAATTTATTTTGCACTGAAAAGAAATCCTTTCAAAAATGTATACAAAAAGAAAATACCTTATCTGTCTGGATATCTTTTGAGGGAAAATCTCTCCTTACAGCAGGATGTCAAAGCTTACTTTTCCTTACAGTCCGGGAGCACAAATCAGGTCTAATGTATATAACAACCCCGACCACATTGCACAGCCTGAACCTGTTTTTCTAAGGCTGGCGTTTATGACATTTTACCCTACTCTGGAAATAAATCAGCCCCGCTGCAGTGTGTTTTTTTTATACATCCTCTAGAAGCAGAGACTATTTTTACAACTGCCCCACAACAGAAGCAGACACGAGACATAATAAAGGAAATCGCCATCTTGCTAAACTCTCTCGAGAGGGATATGTAGACTAATACATCATCATTATTTTGCTTTATATTCAGGAAGAAAGGGCCAGAGGTATGTGGACACTGACATTTGCATGAGGAAATATGTGGAGATACAGTTCAAGACGTCTGCAGGGGGAAGAAAAGGCTACATGCAGGTCTGGAAAACTCAAGTACTAAGTAATGTTTGCTTAAGAGCAATTATTAGAGTGCACACAATCATGATAAAAGGTTTCAAGATGATCTGAACAAATTCCTTATGCAGCAACCAAGTGCAACACTCTCTAAAAAATGTGCTGTTTCACTTCATGTCTGTATCACAGGATCTTTAAGAATGACTCTTTTCATCCTGCATGAGACTCAGCATTGCCGTTTGCATAAGCGTGTAATATCAGATTTTATATCTGGATCTTAAAAGTATTAAAACTCACTTGTGGCCGATCTCATGCGCAATTGTGAAAGCAGAACCAAGGCCGATGTCTTCATTGATGCTGCAACTCCTCTCGGGCTCGCACATTCCAGCCACTGAGGCCAAGCCTGGACACACACACACACACACACACACACACACACACACACACACACACACACACACACACACACACACACACACACACACACACACCTACACACACACACACACACACACACACACACACACACACACACACACACACACACACACACACACACACACACACACACACACACACACACACACACACACACACACACAAGGTCAAGACAAAGCATTCTTAGGAGTCACGGTCATAAAAATGGGATTCCACACGTACGATCTCCTGTGCACCAGTGGGAGTTGAGTTTAGCATCACTGGCTAGACCTTCTTTTTTTTTGTATTCCTTGCAAACTACAGCAACTGCTGGAAAAATGTCTAGACAAGGGTTAGATTTATACATTCATGTAACAAGGGATCGGCTAAAGCGAGCCAAGGAAGGGAATATAAGGACCCCTTCACCAACACCGTGCCCCACCAGAAACCTGTCAGAAAATATAGATGTTTTCCTCATTTCTAAACTGGAGTTGGAGAACGAGAGAGAGGGGAAAGAGAAAGGGAGAGGAGGAGAGGGTGTTTAGAGTTGAAACTGCTCCACAATCCAGGTGTCGCAAGTCCTTTTTTCCTAAAGCCTGACAGGTCAGATAGGGAGACAGGAGGCCATTCTTCACAGATTACATCTACAGGTGACTGGAGAGTGGATCATATGACAGCGCAAAGCAGTTGTGTGTGTGAGTGTTTTTGTGGGGGATGCAGATATTGTGAGGGAAGGACTGACCATTTTAATTAAGTGGTTTTCAAATGTTTTTGAGCTGAAGTTGAAGTTAAGAGGAGGCACTATAACAATTCTTTACATAAGTTAGAAAACTTGCTTATTGGTAGTTTTTTCTTACCTAATAGGCCGTTTTAGTGTTCTTTGCTCAGGAGTCAAGATATTCTAAAACGTGCATCATTTCCCGATACAGTGGAGGTAAATGGGATTTCTATTTTGATGCTCAAATCTCATAAAACACAGAAATACAACATTTACAAACAACTTTTCTTTCTGAATAGTGTCTCTGATAAACTGGATAATCCCTACATTTTACTAGTCACGTTTATCTATCCACTACTACAGTATCTAGACTCAGGTTTTTATTTATTTATAAAAATGCATAGAACCAAGTGGATGGAAAAGCATTTACTGTGCACTCCTCCCTGTTTATGATGAGACCAATATCTCTTATCCTAGACAAATTCACCTAAAACTGAAATGCTCAATCCAACAAGGGCTAAGTGACCGTTTAAATTCATACGAAGCTCTGAATTTAGTTTTCCATGCACAGACAGGAAAGACTCTGCAGTCTAAGTGTGATGCTGATAGATGGGACACACCTGCATTCGCACTTGAGAGTAACCTGCGTAAATCATGTTTTGGTGGTCAGCGCTGCTTCAGATTTTCCGGTATAGTTTGCACGAACTCCCTGCCTCCCTGCTAAAAGTGGCATGGCTTTTGTATCCTCTTTACTAAGAGGCTAAACAAGAATAGACTCGCAAATCAGGAGGCCACTGAAACCATTACTGCAGGGAAAGAGGGAGCCTCAAGGTGAAGAAAGGAGGCGAGGGAGGGAAGGAAGGAGGGTGGCTACTCTACGATTAGTTTAAGAATGTTTGTGTGAGAGAGAGTAGTGTGTGTGTGTGTGTGTGTGTGTGTGTGTGTGTGTGTGTGTGTGTGTGTGTGTGTGTGTGTGTGTGTGTGTGTGTG